GGAGGAGGAGGAGGAGGAGGAAGAGGAGGAGGAGGACGAGGAGGAAGAGGAGGAGGAGGAGGAGGAGGAGGAGAGAGCACCAGGAGGAGGAGGACGAGCAAGACGAGGAGGACGAGGCCACATTTTGAATCGCCAGACGCTTCATAATCCTTCCGCCACAGCCGTGTTTGGTTCAGGACTTGCTAGTGACACTGCAGTCCACTGCATTCAATCGTGCCACTGCATTCATTCACTGCAGTCCACTGAGTTTCGATTGCAATGGCGTTCCCCTGGCCGTACCCCCATGTCCAACGTTCATCCGCAGCCTCTGCTCCGCGAGGCTCGTCCGAAGTGTCGCCGCCTCGCGGTGCTTCTCAGCCTGCGCCGCCTCGCGGTGCTTCTCAGCCTGCGGAGGAAGGTGGACAGACGCCTGGTTCTGGCGCTGTGCAGCCTGCGTCTTTCACGGTCGCCTCGTTCAATTTCGGGTTCGAGCAGGGCATGATGACTGGTAAGCAGGCGGCCACTCACTGCGCTAACTTCGGAAGGTGTGCGCCACGATAGTGGAGACCGCTGATGCTGATATGGTCTGTGGCTGCGAGGTCGGTGCGTTCCGTGAAGGCTTTCGCCGAGCAGGGATCAACGTGACAGAGATCCTCAGTAAGCCTTTCGGTGATGGCATTCGCTTCTCGGAGGTCGACAACTACTTGACTCTCTGGGGGTTCCGCGGTGCTTCTCAGCCTGCGGAACTGACTCTGTGCGAAGACAGCAAAGTTTACAGGCCTCCTAGCGGCCGAGAGATTGATGCTGTTATTTCACATTTTGAGGTGAACAAACCAGGCCATGACAAGTTCCACGTGGTGATCGCCAACATGCACATCGTGTGCGGCAAGAAACCGCCGACCATCCAGACTCGAAAGCGGACAGTTCGCCATCTCCGCTTGCACCTGGACTGCATGGCTCAGATTCTCAATGCTTCGGAGCCGCACGTGCCAGTCGTTCTGCTTGTAGTCGGCGACGACAACCTGACTTTCCAGGAGGCGCGGGAGGCTTACCAGCGCCAGCAGAACGACGAGAAGCTCTGGGAGGTCCATGCCACTCCGGCCGACCTCAAAGGCGACCACGTCGCGGTCTGCGGAGCAGTCGCCCGTTTCTGCTCCATTGCCGTTGGCGCGTCTTTTACGGATCGTGGCATGCGCAACGACGCACACGATGCGGTGGCGGTTGTGCTCACTCTCCCTGGTGCTATTCAGCCTGGGGAGAGCAAGAGGCGGAAGATTGTCGTCGAAAACGTCTCCGACGCCGACGTCAGCGTACAGGCGGACGCCGAGTCTTCTGTGCATTGGGATCGGTCGCCGAGTTCTACTCCTCCGCTTTCACCGACTTCACCGGGTGATCCCGACTACGTCGAGGATGTCGTTCAGAATCGCGCGAACGACTTGCACAGGGAGCTGAGGCAGCTTTGGGACGACAGGTACGACGAGGAGTACGATCCGAAAGTCCTCCATCATCTCAGTCTCTTGCTTTTCAAAAAGAGGAAGTCCACGGAGCCAGCGGACACTGATCCAGCTGGCGCTCCTCAGCCTGGCTCGGAATATGACACGGCCTTTGCGTCTCAGGAGGAGACTGGCCGAGCCATTCTCTCTGTCCTTAAGCTTCGACATGACTTTCTGCGGAGCAAGAACATCGACGACATGCGCTACGTTCTCACGGAGCCTGAGCGCCAGGAATTGGTCAGAGTAGCTCGCGACCAGTACGAGCAGTCGCGGCAGCAGCGTGCGCTTCAGGAACGGGATGTCGAAAAGGGAAAAGCGAGAGGCAAGTCTGCGCCACAAGGGGGCCATGCGGTTCCGCAGGGTCCTAACAAAGGGCCAGGCGGTAAGAAAGGTTCTCACGGTGCTTCTCAGCCTGCGGGAAAAGGTGGCCAGGCCAAGGGTGCAGGTCTGGGTAGCGTCGCCAAGTTTGTGAAAGACCAGAAGCGTAAGCGGTGGCATCGCCATTTGCAACGTGTGGCCGGTACCAAACAGATCTGGGAGGTGCTGGCCTTCTCAGGGCGCTTCGACGTTGATTGGCTAACGCAAGCGTTGCAAGCTGATCACAGTGAGGGCCGTGATGCAGCAGTTCCCGAGGAAGCTCTGCGGCAACAGCGGCGCCGGCTGCACCACCAGAAGGGGCCATCGCGCGCTACAACGAGGGGGAGCGGCTTTCCCGCCATCTGTCTGCCCAGGCTGGCCAGCCAAAGCCGAACTTCACGCGCAGGCAGCTGGACGTGTTGCAGATGTTTGAGAGCGGAGAGCTGCTTCAAATCCGCAACCAAGCGATTCTGGCGTTGGGGCACGGCCGTCTGTTCAGGGCCGATGGCGACTACCTGGACATCGGCGGCAGCACGGGCGGTGGCTCCAGGCGCATCATCGATTCTTGGCAGCCGCCGGACTGGCGTGACTTCCTCCAAGACGATCAGGACATCTGAGTTTTGCAAGTCTCCCTGCCCGCGGTGCTTCTCAGCCTGCGGTCTGCCGCTCTCCAGCTGCGGTCTCGAGCAGTAGTGTTCGAAAGCATGCGAGTTCCTGCGGTGCTTCTCAGCCTCTTGGGGCCTCTTGGGGGCCTCTTGGGGCCTCTTGGGGCCTCTTGGGGGCCTCTTGGGGGCCTCTTGGGGGCCTCTTGGGGCCGCTTGGGGGCCTCTTGGGGGCCTCTTGGAGGCCTCTTGGGAGCCTCCTGGGGGCCTCTTGGGGCCATCTTGGGGCCTCTTGCGACCTCCTCAAAAGCGCAAATGAGAGCTGCCCCCTGAGAAGGACAAAATGAGCCGAAAACCTTCGTAAAATCAATGATTTTGCTGTGAAGGAAGATGAGCGCGGCCCCCTCAGGACGCCAAAATGGGGCCAAAACCGTAGTACAATCAATGATTCTGGCTTTAAAGAAGAGGAGGGGGACCAGACGGTGCCCCCCCGTCGGGGCCAGAATCCTCGTGAGGGTCGTCGTTTTTTTAGCCCTCCCAGGAGTCGAAAAAGACCCCTCAAACGACCCGCGGGGCGCCCTCTCCAGGCCCAGGGGGAGGGGGTAGGGGGAGGGGTAAACCCCTCCCCGAAGGGGAAGAAGGGGGGTTGAGAACAGAGCGGGCTCCCTAAACCACTCACGCCCAAAGGGCTGGTGGGATTGATAAGGAGCAGTGATCAAACCCGAAGGGCGGCCGTAAGCCCTCGCGTTCCGCCCTCCCACCACATGATTAAAAGCCGAGTACCACCAGCCCTTGGAGGGCCTCTTGGAGCCTCGTGGGGCCTCTTGGGGGCCTCTTGGGGGCCTCTTGGGGGCCTCTTGGGGGCCTCTTGGGGCCTCTTGGGGCCTCTTGGGGGCCTCTTGGGGGCCTCTTGGGGGCCTCTTGGGGCCGCTTGGGGGGCCTCTTGCCCTGACTCTTACTCCGACTCGTGCAGTTCGCCTTACTCTTACTCTGACTCTTACTCTCACCGTTACTCTTGCTCTGACTCTTCCTCCTCCTCCTCTTCCCTTCTTCCTCGTCCCCCTTGATCTCGCCTCCCAGCTAGGAGCTCTGGTGTTTCCTCGGTCGTGCTTCGTTTTCTTTTGGTCGTGTAGCGTTCCTGACAGTCCAAGACCAGCTCGTCGTCGCCAGTCGCCAGTCGCCTGTCGACCGCCCTCCAGACGCTGTCTCAGATGATGTGGCTCGCCGTGGATGGTCCGTCTGGGCATGGGCGTACGGTGCCGACGCTCGACCATGCGGACCTCGTCCTGGCTCAGAACCACCGCATCGCAGGTCCTTCGGAGGTCAATTGTTATGAGTTCGGCACGGTCTCGGTCAAGTACAGCGTGCTGTGGGGATCCCGAGATGGGGCCTGGCTCAAGGTGCTCAAGACGTACTGGAGTGTCCCAGAGCCGGAGTGCCAGCTGATCCTCGGGAGTTGGAACGGCATTTTCAGGCCGTGGCCGGACACGTTCTGGATCAGGACGGGGGGGTCCGAGCCCGAGATGGAGTGCTAGCGCTCTGCAGTACAAGTGCTTTTCAGCATGCGACATCCTGCGGTGCTTCTCAGCCTGCAGGGTTCGCAGCGTGCGGTTTGCAATGCATTCCTTTTCAGTATGCGAGTTCCTGCGGTGTTTCTCAGGTTGCAGGGCTCCGAGGCTCTTCGCTTCGATGCCAATGTTTTCAGACACCGTAGCTCCGTTCCGTAAACATCTTCCAAGAGCCGCTCGCAACCTTTTGCAGCTGGCGGTCTGCAGACGTAGTCTGTCTCAGCATGCGAGCTCCCGCACGCTTCGCCGGCTTTTGCTGCGCGGACAATTTTCTCACACACGTCAGCGCCGTTTGTAGGCGTCAGAAAAACATGTAGACATTCACGAAGGGCTCAGTCTGTATATCGTCACATCATTACATACGCAGTCGTCGAACACATCGGTGTACATTCAGCGCTTTGTCCTTCTAGCTGGGTCGCTTCGTGCTGAGGCTGAGGCTGATGCAGGCTGAGGCTGAGGCAGGCTGAGGCTGAGGCCGAGGCCGACGGCAGACTGAGGCTGAGGCTGAAGCAGGCTGAGGCTGAGGCAGAGGCAGGCTGAGGCTGAGGCTGAGGCTGAGGCAGGCTGATGCTGAGGCAGGCTGAGGCTGAGGCTGAGGCTGATGCAGGCTGAGGCTGAGGCAGGCTGAGGCTGAGGCCGAGGCCGAAGGCAGACTGATGCTGAGGCTGAAGCAGGCTGAGGCTGAGGCTGAGGCAGGCTGAGGCTGAGGCAGGCTGAGGCTGAGGCTGAGGCAGGCTGAGGCTGAGGCTGTGACTGCGACTGCCGTTGCCACTGCGACTGTCATCGCGAATGCGACTACGACTGCGAGAACAGCAGAATTCTACAACTGGATTCTCATCCGAATCTTAAGGGGAATGCTTCCAGATATGCTCCTACACATGGCTGTTAGGTTGCTTTGCCGGGATAATCAGCCTGTGTACGCTTCGGCCTATGACTCTTCCTCCCCGTGCCCACATGCAAAGATGGGGCACGGTTCCTCCTCAACCATAACCCCCTCGCGCTCTCCCCGACGGGGATCCCCCCCCCCCTATGGCCAGCTACCACCCGCGCGCAAAGCGACAACCAGACCTGTCCTGCGTCCACGCCTGCGCGACGTGCGCCAGCTCGCTGCTGCAGCCGTCGCTGCTCGGCTCTGCACTGCGCCTACTCGCGTGCGAGCGCACGCCCCACGGACGGCCCGCCCACCAGGGGCAGATCGGCGAAGGGCTGCCTGCAGAGGTTCTTGAAATCCAGCCCGCAGAGGCGGCGCTCCAGCATGGTGACGGTGCGGTTCTGCTCGGCGCGAACCAGCTTCCGGACGTTGGTGGTGATCTGCGCCTGCCTGTGGCGCATGGCCCGGGTTTCCCAGCCGACGTCAGTCAACTCTGTCCGGGGCAGGATCAGGTCGGGAGTGCCGTCGACGCGGACCCGCACCATCGGGGAAGGGGCACGGTCCTGCCGCTCTCGGCCGCGTGCCATGCGGTGGCGGCCTTGGTCCTCCACCTCCTCGGACGTAAGTGGGCCTTGGCCCTCGTCCTCCTCCTTCTCATCCACCAGCTCTGCCCCGTCGACGGCGTGGCGCACGAGATCAGCGCCCATCAAGCCCGTGTCGATGCCCACCCGAGCTGGTGGTTGGAATTCCTTCCCGCACGTGTTTGTCATTGCCTGGTTCGCCGCCGCAGCCATAAAGAAGCAATCTTGGGCGCGGAGACCGTAGGTTTGAGTCCGACGGGCTTGAACCAACATGCCTTTACGGAGGCAATCTTGAAGCCCTCTTGGGGCCTTCTTCTGGCCGTCTTGGGCGCCTCTTGGGCCGTCTTGGGGCTCTCTGGGGCCTTGTTGGGACTCTCTTGTGGGCCTCTTCTTGGGTCGTCTTGGGGCGGTTCGGGGGGCCGTCTGGGCCGAAGAGGACGCTGTGGAAACACGAAAACCGTATATGCTGAAAATGTACGTTTTCCCTAAGTGATGAACCGATTCTGGCTTCATGGAGTCATCTTTCGGCGTTTTTGAAGTTTTTTGGCTCTTCTTGAGGTTATCTTGGCGCGTCTTGGAGCGCTTGCGGGGCGTCTGGGGCAGTCTCGAGCTGGTCCCGGCGGCCTCTGCAGCCGCCCGAAAATCCGAAGGCCTCGCCCGGGAGCCCTTGGGCAGCCCCGGGCCCCCATGCCACGCCATGGCCGTGGTTCCTGGCCTGCCCCCGGATGACGACGACGCCGCCGCCGCCGACGACGACGACGACAACGACGACGACGATGACGACGACGACGGCAATGACGACGACAACGACAGCGGCAACGACAACGATCATTTTAAGACTTTTCGCTCTCACTGGCACGCGTGTTTTGCATTCTGTATACCCCAACCCTCGATACCCGCCCACTTCGTCTTCGATAGCACACCCTTTCGGGGGGAATATCTTCATTGTCGGCCACTGACTGAAGCGCGAGGAACTCTTGAGCGAGAACGCCGTTCCTGAGCTCGGAGGCCTCTCTGGCTAGGCCAGGGGCTCTCGGAATATATTTTCAGACGTATCGAACGGGAACGCTTGTCGCCGTATCTGGGCCTCCAACAACTTGCCAGACTTACGAGAAAATCTCAAGCGAAAGCGCCACTCTTGAGTTCGGGGGCCTCTCTGGCAAGGGTCTCTGCAAATACATCTTGAGGAAGTACCGAACGAGAGCCCTTGTCGCCGTAGCTGGGCCTCCACCAATTTGATTGAATCACGAGAAAGTCTCGAGCGAGAGCGCCGTTCCTGAGTTCGGGGGCCTTCCTGGCCAGGGGCTCTCGGAATAACTGGTAAGAAATATCGAACAGGAGCCCTTGTCGTCGTGGCTGAGCCTCCGCCAACTTGATTGCATTGCGAGGAAGACTCCAGCGAGAGCGCCGTTTCTGAGTTCGAGGGCCTCTCTGGCCAGGGTGTCTCGGGGTAAACTGTGAGAGTGTCGACCAGGAGCCGTTGTCGTTGTAGCAGGGACTCCAAGGGCCCACTTTTACACTCAAGCCAGCGCTCGCGCGGGAGCCTCGTTTTCAGAGAAAATGTAGCCGTCGTCGAAACGAGAGAGCGCGGAACTGTTTCCGGAGATCAACAATGATAATTCTCTAGAAATGAACTTTCAACGACGACGACGACGACGACGACGACGACGACAACGACGTCGCCGCGTGGGAATAATTTTTAAACCTCTAGGGGGCCTCTTAGGGCCTGTTTTTAATCCTCTTGGGGGCGTCTTGGGGGCCTCTTGGGATCTCTTGGGAGCCTCTTGGTGCTTCCTGGGGGCCTCTCGGGGTGGAAAGCTCGAATTGTCGGTTAGTTTGCCTCTCTCGGCCCCCGATTTGGCTCGTCTTGGAGCCCTTTTTGAACGCCTCTTGAATTGTGTTGGGGCCGCCTTGGGCTGTCTTGGAGCTCTCTGGGGGACATCTTGGGCGCCTCTCGAGCCCTTTTGGGTCGCTCATCGTCTGAAACGTTCGGGGTCTCACAAGGCGAGAACTGAAGCCGTCTTAGAGCGTCTTGGGGGTGTTGCGGGCTTTCCAGGGATGGCTCGCGGCATCTGGGAGCTGCGCCTCCTGGGGGCGCCTTGACAACCTTCTTGGACCGGCCGGGACCCCTGGCAACCCCAGGCGCCGTCCAGCCGCGGGCCCCAGGCTCCGTGGCCTCGTGCGCAATAGATTCATGTGAATACTCGCAGGAATACGCATACATATATATATATATATACACATACATACATACATTACAACATGCCAGCGTCTATCTTTTATGAATAAATACATACAGATTGTAAACGCAGCGTCTACGTGTGTGCATATATATAGATAGATATATACATACCTGTGTATAAGTATATGTAGGTGTATATGTATGTATGTATGTATATATATATATATATACACTACAACCATTGCGCGCGCTCAGGTTCTAGCAGGCCCCTGCTCTTGACGGGTTCACTGCTCCTGGGGCTTGCGGGAGCCTCTTGGTGGCCTCCGGGGGCCAACTGGTGGCCTCTAGGGCCAGAGACCTCGAAATATCGGTTCGCGGTCCCCCTCGGGGCCCCTTCTTAAGGCGCTCTTGGGGCACACTTGGGTTGGCTGGGGAGCCTCCTGGGCCGTTTTGGTCTTCGGGGCCTCATGGGCCGTCTTGGAGCGATCTTAAGGGCCTCCGAGGCCGTGAGGGAGCGCTGGTAAGCAGGAAAAACGAGAACGCCAAAATCCTTCAAAAACCTTTGGGGACTGAATGAACTTTGCCTCCAAGGGCCCTCTTAGGGAGGCTATTGAGTCCGTCCTGGAGCGGAGTCCTCGTCGGCCGTCTTGAGGGCATCTTGGGCGTCTTCGGGGCCTCTTGGGGGACCGTCTTGGGCCCTCTTGCGACCCCCTTAGCCTGTCGTGGCCTGTTTCGTGGCGGGTCTGGGCCGTTTCGGGAGTTCTGGGACCACCCCAGAATCTCCAGGGGCGCCCATGGTGGGTACAGGCAGCGGCCCGCCTCCCCCCAAGCCTACTCCGATATATATGTTAATATATATATATATATATATATATAATATATATATTAACATATATATATATATATACATACATATATATACACACATATATACATACACACATATATATATACAAGACTTGAAGCTCGCTGCGCCTCGCTTTAAAGTCGTGGTATAGTGCACTGTGTGCGAGGCGAGGGGGGGGGAGGACAAACGGGCGTATTGGGCCGAAGCGCAGCTACATGCATAGGCAAAGGGGGCTGCGAGAAACGGCAGAGCACGTGGGGTGGTGGAAGAGGTGTGCGCGGTTCGACGACGGCAACGACGACGACGTCGTCGTCGCCGTCGTCGAACCCATGGTGGTCGCAAGTTCGTCGACGAGCGCTCGTATTTGTCGGGGCCTGTCGAGGCCATGGAGGTGGTCTGGGACGCTGCACGCGAGTTCCAAATGCCAGAGAAGCCTTAGGGCCCTTGGGGCCCCCGCGGACGGGCCAGAGAGAGCCTCTGAGCCCCCAAGGCCTTCCAGATTCTATCGAAGACGCCTGCAGCGAATCACCGCCGCACCCTGCCTTTTTGGAAGCGCCTGCGTGGCCGAAAATTGGGTTTGAGCTTGGCCAAGCTATGCGGCCACGCGTTCCCCGAATGGGTTTTGAAAGCCTTCGGGGAACACGGAGTCGGGCGAGCTATCGGACCAGGTGGTTTCCGAGCTTTCGGGCCTCCTGAACGACGTCTTGGAGGGGTCTTGGGCCGTCTTGGAGGCCTCTGGCGAGCCTTTTGGGCAGTCTACGGCCATTTTCAAACAATCTAGGGCCGTCTTGGGTGCATCTTGGGGCCATCTTCGCCGCCTTGCAGGCATTCTTGACCGTCTTGGAGGCATCTTGGAGGCCACCTTGGCCGTCTTGGAGGCCATCTTGGGCGTCTTGGAGGCCTCTTGGGCCGTCTTGGGGTCTTGTTGGAGCCCTCTTGGGGGCCTCTTGGCCTGTCATGGGGCCATAGGCCTCTTGGGCCTTCTTGGGGCGATGTTGGGGGCCTCTTGGGCCGTCTTGGGCCGTCGGAGAGCTGAAAAGAAGAACATGCCACAATCCTTCAAAAACATAGGAAAATCAATGACTTTGGCCTCTTCGGGCCTTCCTGGTGGAGCTCTTGGAGGCCTGTTGGGCTGTCTTGGAAGCATCTTTGGCGCCTCTTGGGCCACCTTCGGCTCTCTTGGGGGTATTTATGCCGTCTTGGATGCCATCTTGGTCGTCTTGGAGGTCATCTTGGCAATCGTGAGGTATCTTGGAGACCATCTTGGCCGTTTTTGAAACCTCTTGTGCCGTCTAGCGGCCCTCTTGGGGCTGGTTTGAAGGCCTCTTGGACCGTTCTGGAGCCATCTGGGAAGCCTCTGGGACTAGTTTGGGGACTCCTTGAGCCGTCTTAGGCGGTCGGAAAATCAAAACCGAGGAAAAACACAAATCCTTCAAAAACCTACGGAGAATTGACGATTTTGGCTCCCTCGGGCCTTCCTGGAGCACCTCTTGGACTCCTCTGCGGCAATCTTGGAACCTCTCGGTCCCATCTCGGGCCATCTTGGCCGTCCTAGCGGCCATCTTGGCCGTCTTAAAACTCATCATGACCGTGTTGGAAACATCTTGGAGGCCATCTTGGCTGTCATAGAGACCGTCATGGGCGTCTTGGAGGCCATCTTGGCCGTCTTGGCGCCCTCTTGGGGCCCTCTTGGGCCGTCATAGGGCCATCTTGGAGGCCTCTTGGGCGCTCTGAGGGCGATCTTCCGGGCTCCTTGGGCCGTCGTGAGCCGTCGGAAGGCTCGAAAAGAACAGAAGCGAAACTCCTTCAAAGACGAAAGGAAAACATTGATTTTGACATCTTCGGGCTCTCGTGGAGGACCTCTTGGAGGCCTCTTGGCTCTTGGGCCGTCTTGGAGGCCTCTTGGAGGCCTCTGGGGCCGTCTTGGGCAGGCTGAGAGGTTTCTTGTGCGAACTTGGAGACATCTTGGATTCTCCTGGGCCGTCTGGGAGGCCATCTTGGACCATCTTGGGCGAACCTGGAGGCCATCTTGGGCCATCTTGGCCATCTTGGAAGCCATCTTGGAGCCATCTGGAGCAGGACAAACTTTTGGAACCACCCTTTCCGGGCCATTCCGGGACCCTTCCGGGCCATTCCGGACCCCGGCGGGCGGGGCCGAAACCCCGCAGAGGGAGTTCTTTTGGAAAAAAAACTAAAATCAAAAGCGAAAGGATTGAGCACGCCGGGCAACAGGGGGCGGCGGATCGAAT